GAAATCCATATTTTATACAGCCTTGGCTCTATGACTTTAAAGTTGATCGGGCTGTCGCCTGTCAGTATTTTCATCATCAGATCGTGTTACTGGGATGTAAACGGGACCGATAGCCTCCAACCCAAATCCTGGCTCCGCTACTGCATCGCGCACTACTGATAAAACATGTTGTAATAGACTGCGATCTTCTATATGAAGGATTGCGAGATCTTTGAAGAATTTTGTACACACTTATATAGGCGGCATGTAGCTCGAGTAAGAAAGTTAATATATCACACGTGTGAAAACGAATGCTGTATTTGACGAGATATAATGAGTTAGTTACCATTACAATGACAATCGCGCGTGAAAAAACGTGAAAAATCTAACGCGTTAAAACGAATTTCCCAAATCTAGCAAAAATTCATGAAAATTTTCTTCGTGAAACTCCATTAATTTGCCTTTTAAGGCAAATTTTGGCCTTAACTGGAGCATTTATTTCGCTAAACTTTTTTTTTTATTATGTGGAGCAGAAATGATGATGTACGAAGTACAGAATTACATTCCTTTAGATATAAAACCCATAGTAAATTTTAAAGAAGAAAAATGAAAGAGGATCATCTTTATCTAGGTTTAATTCAAGTGATTTTGCTAGCGATTAATACAAAGCTAAGATTTCTCTAAAGGAGAGTTCTGCTTAATCTGATAAAAAGCTTTTGATATTTGGATTGATATAATTCATAGACACACTTCATATTTCGTAAATATAAGTCTTTCAAGATGATTTTTGTGTAATGCGCATAAACAAATATGTTACACAAAAAATTATGAATATTGTATGAATGAAAACGATTAGTAAATTGAATGATGGATAATTAAATGACATTCGTTAACAATTAAAATTTTCATTAAAACTCGTTAAAATATTTCACTCATGAAAACAGTTACTTGATTTAACGAGAATCAATCAGTTAAGTTTCGTGAAAAATACAGAAATTCACGAATACGCGTTAATATGTTTAACGCATGAAAATGAATACCAAGTTTAACGATATTTAACATGGTAAGATTGGTTAAAAATAAAAAAAACTCAAGAAATATCGTTAAATTTCTTAACGCGTGAAAATGAATACAACGTTTAACGATATATAATGGGTTAGTTACAGTTAAAACGACAATCACGCGTGAAAAATCTAATGCATTTACACGAGTTTTCGGAATATAACGAAAGTTCATGAAATCTTCTTCGTGAAATTTCATTAATTTGTCTTTTAACGCATTTTTTTGCGTTAATTTTAAGAATCATTTCGTTAGATATCTTTTTATTTTTACACGGGTATCGCGAGTTTCAACAATGTCTCACTGGTATGTTGTAGAAAATTTTTATAAATGTTATGCGAAGTCTGAAATTATTCTGTAATATTTTCTAAAACGTATTAAAACGAGTTTCCAAACATTTCATATTTTCTGACGTTCTGTTTAAAACTTAAATTTCTTGATATTCATTGTATGTGCTGCAATCTTTGTTAACTCTTAGTACGAAAATTATTCATTTCCACTTACCTTATCTGTTTCGAATAAAATTTAGAAAGATAGTGCAACTCAATGTATTTTTACGAACGAAAAAAATATAAAACTATGAAACAAATCATTTATACCCTCGGACAAAAGTCGTTTCCCCCTTATCTTTTTATGCTGCTATACTTTGCATCAACTTGATCATTAAGTAAAGATATGACATAAGAGTTTTATTAGTAGGATCTGTAGACAGAAATGAAATAAAACTTTCATGTCATATCTCTACTCAGTAATAAATTTGATACAAAGTTTAACATCATAAAAAGATAGAGAGGGAAAAGATGTTTGTTTGGAGGCGTATATGTTACAAGAGAACCTATGCGAAGGACTACCGGGACTTATTTCTTCGGGATTTATTTTTTCTAGCGGACTTATTTCTTTATTGAGGATTTATTGTGATTTATTAATATTGATGCTATCCCAGTATACTCACATCAACACCCACACCCACACACACCCACACCCTCAAGTTTATCATTGCAAAACGTTTTGCAATAGCTCCATTCGCTATCATTATGAAATTTTTTCTACTCGAAAGCTGCATTTTTTTCGAGAATGAGTTGCATTTTGTTGCTTTCTCGCGTTTCAAATTTTCAAATGCATTTATTAACTACTAAAAGTGAAAGTATTTTATTTTTAATTGAAAAATGAGAAGAAAATTTTACACTTGTTTTCATTCACACTGGAGATGTTTATATAAAATGCTTTCATTCACAGTGAAAATTGTCATAACAAAATGGATGTTTACTCTTTCTTGTCGTTTGTTTAATGTGCGCAAAGTGAAAGTGACAATGCTTACATAAGCAACATCTTTGCAGTCTTGTGACGAAGAATCGATTCCCAAACAGTTGCATGTTTTATCAAGAAAAATGGGTGCTGTATGTGGCAATGATAATGTTGAAACCAAGGAGCATCAATATACTTTTGACAAAGATAGAAGTAAAAGGTCACCTATGCGCCCTGGACCTCATAATGAATTGACCAGAAGCGAAAGTGCACGTATACAGCGAGAAAAATCCATAATAGAACAATTTTGTAAAATTGGCATTATTAAAACCAATCCTCTGCGACTTATTGACGACTATCTCGATGAACGACTTTTGTCCCTCGAGGAAGCTCTTAAATCTTTCGATGCTGAAATTGATCATTTGTCTTACAATATTGAAGAAGCTAAAGCCAAGTGTCATTATCCATCAGAATATAAGCTTACTCGTGATGAATCAGCTGCTATCTACATTTATACAATGCGATGGAAGGATCAATGCCTCTATGATAATTTTCAAGCAGCATGGAGATCTCAAGATCAATCTAAAATGAAGCCATGGTTTAAATATCTGAAGTTATTCAGAAGTGCACTTGATTAGGGGTGTCGTCTTAGCATTAGTGTTAAGAAAACGCTAATACTTAT